GTTTAAACTAGTTAAACAGATGAACTCAAAGTGTTTCCATAACGATCAAATTTAAACATCTTGTTTGAACTCGTTTGTATTAATTAATTTAATAAAGCAAACCCATGTTACAGGTTTTGTTGCTCTTTCAGGAAGCAGGACGGCTCTGATCAGAAGAAAGAGACGAATCTGGACGATGAAGAGTTGGACCTCAACGCCAAGAAYGTAAAAAATAAACCAGTTTTATTCATAAAAACACATTTATGGTTTGATTCAGAGTACTCTCAGCTACCAACACGCTGAACTTTAGCTGTGTCTGTGAAACTGACTGAACTTCAGCTGTTTTTCTTGGCGGCCATCTTTGATTTGTCTGTTATTTATGTCAAAGTTTTATTGAAATGTGAGCGGTGGTTTGTGAGATATTTTGCTAACACAGGTTTATTGTCGTTCACCTTTTAGCTGAAGCTGAATGACGACATTTTTAGCTGTTAAAATGAAAAAAATAAAATAAAATTAGAATAATTTAAGTGCCGTCGGCGCGTCTCTCCTTGTGTCCACCAGGTGGAGCTGTGCGAGGCGCTGAGGAGCAGCGTGGCGGCGCTGCAACAGGACAAACTGCTTCTGGGGGAGGAGCTGAGGCYCCACCAGGCTCTGGGGTCCAGCCTCCAGGTTCTGGTCCAGGACCGGCTGAAAACCAACGAGCGGGAGAAGTACAGCGTGTTCATCGGTAGGAAATTATTACAGAAGAACCGGCGCGGCGCGGTGCGGTGCGGCGGACCCTTGGCTCTGACCCGGTGGGGGGGCGTTGTGTTTGTTCGCAGGAGACCTGGAGCGGATCGTGAACCTGCTGCTGTCTCTGTGTGGACGTCTGTCCCGGATCGACAGGACGTTGCTCTGCCTGCAGAGGGACGAGCTGAGGACGGAGGGCGCCGCCGAGGAGAAGGTCAGACCAGAAGGTTCTGAACGTGTCCACCAGAGGGCGCTCACACACCAGCAGTGAAACAACCATAAACTACAGAATCTAAGCTCGAGTTTTATTATTAATGATTCACAGTTTAAATGTTTTATTAATTAAAACAACTTTTCTCTGAATATAATCCGACTTGATGACAGAAACTGAGTGAAAAATCATCCAGAACCTAAAAAAACAAATATCTGCTGAACACGTCACTTTATTTTGTTAATGATCACCTGCAACACCAGCGTAATCCATATTCCTCAATATACAAGATGTACAATATTTAAAAAGAAAAAAAATTGTACAGGTCTTCTGGACGGGTTCTTCTTTAATGAAACGTTTCGTCTCTCCTCCAAGAGACTTCTTCAGTCTGAGAGTTTCAGGCTAAATTCAGGCTTTTAAGCCCAGCCTCCATGTGACTGACACTCACATGGCTATGGTTCACAGGTGACTGATACTCACATCACATGGCTATGGTTCACAGGTGACTGATACTCACATCACATGGC